CAGTTGTGGGGTTGGCATGTGTATAATGTCCCTTTGGGTACCCGGGGCAGGTGCAGGGGGTCAGGCAGATGCTTTTTTACAGGCTCAGCGTTGCCTTTTGTGACCAATTTGTCCTCTCTTTGGGGACCCAAGTCAAGCACCCAGCGGGGACGAGAGCCAGACTGTGTCCTGGGACACCTGCAGCTCTCGCCGTGGCATCCCACCGTCCCCAAAGCTGCCCGGCACCATCACAGGCACCTTGGGAACCGGGGTGGGCTGGCACTACCTGCCTCCTCCAAGGCCACCGGAGCATCCAGCCTCATGGGGAGAGGGACACCCCTGGGCAGAGGGTGGCCGGGGGGACGGAGCCGCACTGCCCGGTGGAGTTCTGCTTCATTCCTTGGAAGGCGCAGGGACACGCCGCGTGGGATTCAGGGCTGGAGGTCACGCCAAGGTGTTGCTGCCATGATGGATGGCGTGCCATCAGTGCCCAACACCTCTGCTCGCGGGGGCCGGTGCCCAAAGCACGGCAGCTGGCAGTGGAGGGGATGCTCAGAAACGGTACCCACCCCCCAGCACCCCCAGGGAGCACCGCGCACCCAGCCTGGCTTTTCATCCGTGTCCGGGATGGCACGAGTGGTGCCAGCAGGAGGTGGCACGTTCCTGCCTGGACATGTCCCACTGCCCTGGCTCCATCCATATCACGAGGGACACACAGCCTTAATTCCACCACGCCGTGGCCTTGTGCTGGAGCCCTTGGACGTTCAGCCTTGAGCCTGGCAGCACTCCTTGCTCCTTCGGGGGGGTCCCCCCCGGTTGTCCCAGTACAGAGGGGATCGCGCTGTCCCTGCGAGGGACGATGGTTCAGCTGGGCTAGGGGTGCAGCAGGAGGGAGGGTGGCTGGGTGATGGGGGGTGTGCAGGGGATGGGGACACCGGGCTCCCCAGGCAGGGCCAACCCTCGGTCATCTGCTCAGGACCACGGCGGTGGCTTCATCCACCCGTTCCCTCCTGCTCCAGCTCATGGCATCAAGAGCCTCCAGCATCCCAGCCCGGCAGTGGGGTGACTTGGGCACAGGGACACAGGGGCAGTGTGTCACATCACTTTATTGCCACGGCAGCCACGGGCTAGACCCAGCTCCCAGAGTCCAGGTCCAGCCCCTTGACCCCTCTAATACTGTTGAGAAGATGAACCCCAAGCCTCCATGTCCATCCACAGGCGCTGAGCGTCCTCCATCCCGGCCCCCACGGAGCAGCTCCAGGGTGTCACTCCCATCTTGCTGCCCGCACCTCCGGAAGCTGGAGGCCAGCATGGAAAAGTGAGGTGAGACCAAGGGTGCAGAGTGTGCCCGACCGGGAGCAGCAGGGACTGCCACCATGTCCTGCCCTGGGGAACAGCATGAGCCCACTCGGGCCCCCCTCAAACCTCCATGCCGGGCGCCTGCCCCAGGCCCAGCGCCTGCACCAGGTCGTCGCTGAGCCCACTCTTCAGCGTCCGTCTCACTGCGGGGAAAGGAGAAGGTGGCACTGGCAGCATGGTCCCCATGGCGCTTGGTGCCTGCCTAGGTGTGGTGGCACTGGGAAGGGGTGGCAATGGGGTGCAGTGGCATGGTCTGGTCTTGGGGTACCTCCTGCTGGGGCCTGGTGGGCTCAATGTGGGAGGTGAGGGGTGGCCAGGGGGGAAGCAGTCAGGTAGGGCATGGGGACAAGGACACAGAGGTGGGACAAGGGATGGGGACAGAGCTTGGGAACTGAGATGGAGAGGTGGGACAGGACGAGAGGCGGGACAGGGAGCATCTGGGCAGGGACACAGGAGAGAGTACAGGGACAGAGCCACAGAGGTGGGACAGGGTATGGGGACAGGGGCACGGAGATGGGACAGAGGACAGGGCACGGGAACGGCCACAGAGGTCAGACAGGGTGCAGGGACAAGGACGCAAAGCATCTGGGCAGGGAGAGGTAGGACAGGGCACAGGGACAAGGGCAGAGCATGGGGACAGACGAGACAGGGCGCGAGGACAGGAACGGGACTCACAGGACTTCCTATTGCCACGGGACCTCCTGCGCTCCTTGTTGGCGCAGGGCCGGGGGTTGGCGTTGTGCGTCACCGACTTCACCAGCCGGTCCATGATTTCATCAGAAGCATCATCTGGGGAACTGGGAACGTCCTCCTGGGCTGGAGAGCCCTGGGTCGGGGTGACATGTCCTGTCCCTGCATGGGGACAA